ATTAAGTTAAGAAATGTGGGACTGACATTCGCACCGCGTAAAAGAGGGCGCCATGGTCTCGCCAAGCGTGCGATTACTCTTCGAACTAGTGCTTCTTCAGCGCTTTTATCACTAAATCATAAGGGATGAAAGAGGCCAACGAACTTCGCTGCAGAGGACGCCAATCAAAACAGTCGTAAGATGCAAGAATCGATAAAGCGCAGCAAACAGTAGCCCATGTGAGGCACACCAAGTTTGTCAACTACCCTAATAAGATTCTACTCGAGCCAGGGTAACCCATAATGCTTACGTCAAACGTGGACGTCATCGACGCTTTGGTAAACAGAGCAGTGGGAACTCTTCATCAGGCAATCGCTGGGCATGCCCGGACTACGCACTTTTTCAGGTTTCTCAGTAGTGGAAATGCATTTATTGCCGGTTTTCGAAATTCGCTGGCGAAGCTTGGGCGTGTTGGTTAAACATAGGAGGGAACACAGAGCAAAAGAAGAGAAATGGCATGAAAAGGCAACGCACACGCCGCACTATCTGTTCGTCACCCTTTCTTGTCTCCGTTTTTTTTGTGCTGTGTTGCCACCAGTGATTTAGAACGTCAGTTTAATGATTTCGATGTGTGGGGTTTGACGTCCCAAAACCACCGTATGATTCTGAGAGACGCCATATTGGAGAAATCTGGAAATGTTGACCACCTGGGGTTCTTTAACGTGCACCCAAATCTGAGCACACGGGCCTACAACGTTTCCGCCTCCATCGAGAATGCAGCCGCCGCAGCCGGTCTCGGATCCCGCGACCTGAGGGTCAGCAGCCGAGTACCTTAGCCACTAGACCACCGCGGCAGGGCAACAACATTAATCTAGAGCTAGACGAAACTACAGGAGGGTTTTAACACGAAAGTGTTTTGTGCCGGGGTTCACGAACATTTCATTGATGTACTTTCGGTCACGGTATTGACGTCGAAAAATACACACGATCGGAAAACGAAGAAAAAAAATTTCCGTCACGGGGAATCTAACCCAGGACCTCTTGCATGGCAATGACAACTGCTGGGCACGCTATCCACAGCTGTCAGATGCTTTGAAAACACGCCTTTTTTTCTCGACCTGCCCCCTAGATAACACTTCCGCCGAATGGAAGACAGCCGGAGCGCTTCTTCTGTGTTTAAGCACGATCATCGGCTACATTGTGGCGCTTTCAATCCCACACAAAAAACACGAGGCGCGGGGCGACATTATCTCCGTTGGACACAGTGACAAACCTAACGGTGACTTAAAAATTACGCCTGCAGTGTACATGGAATCCTCAACGTAATAATAAAAAGGAAACATTATCCTGAAGGGTAGTGTCACAGTGAAGGTCGTGGTTGCAGCCGCGTTGAGAAGTGAGCGAAAAAACCACGAAAAGGTTTCATAAGACCACATATTGATAAACCTAGCCCACTGGCTTACTGTCAAAGGACCTAGAAGAAACGTTATTGAACACAGCATGTACTTCGTTTGGACAAGCCATTAATGCTTTCTATAAACATTGACGTGTCCGATGGCATGATCAATGGAGAGGTGGGTTCACTGAAGCACATATAGTTGGATGAAACGGGCATTGTAAAATGTCGCTGGCTCAAATTTTCTCTTTGAAGCAACTGAAAAAATTGCTCGCATGAAGTCCAGTGCCTGTAAATTTAATTAAAATGCGTTGAGCGTTTCAACGGGAACCGTTGTAATGCGTTAAACACATGCAGGATCCGGTGCTCCGTTGAATCCGTTGAAGTTCGTTAAATCACGTGCAGGATCCGGCGTTCGGCATCTCTGTAGGACACGTGAAGATGGACGTCTACGAGCTGGCCGACAACGTCATGGCTGTCGTGACTCAGGTCCTGGAGAAGCTTAGGCACGGATGGGACAACGTGCGCTCGCTGAACATCAAGTCCTCCATGGGACCCGTCTACCAGCTGTACTGAGGCCACGGAGCCACTGAAGTGCGAAGTGTGTAAAGTGGCAGCCATGCATAAAGAGCACGACATCACCTGCACCCTTGCCTGATCAATCAATCAATCAATCAATCAATCAATCAATCAATCAATCAATCAATCAATCAATCAATCAATCAATCAATCAATCAATCAATCAATCAATCAAGCTAGATTTTAGCATAAACACCAGCACAATACTTGTATTACGGAGATGCCACACACGGAAAAGGCTCAAAAGAAACAACTGTGGGAGAGCTTCCCATCCGAGTAGGATAAAATAATATACGTAAGCATAGCAATGAGCTGATAATACAATATAGCATACATGTCTGGAAAAAAACAACAACCTCAAAATCGCCAATTCAAAACAAAAAAACTGATTATATGATATAAAATAACGAGACGTAGAGTCAACTTTAAGACATAAAATTCATTTAATGAAGCAGTTTATGACGTATAAGGCGAAGTTTCGAGAAAGATGTGCTACGAATCACTGCTATAATCTCGCGGAAGCACAATCCACAGACGCGTGCGCACTGATAGAACCCATGCTCTCTGGGCCGCAATTTTTGTTCCCCGTGTAGACGAAATGCAGCTCCTTGCATTACCTTTCTGTACTTTTAGCTGCGCCTGGTCGCGTATGTGCACAGGCCCTTTATCGAGTTGGGTGATGGGTTATGTCATCATTACCGTCATCACCATCATTATTATCACCATCGTCATCAGCACCTTCACCATGATAACCAGCATCATCATTAGCATTATTATTGTCATCATCACTACCACTACCAACACAACTCCCCCATACCAACAGCGGCAACAACGATGACGACGACAACAACGACAACAACTAGAACAACGACGACATTAACCGCATTCTGCTGTTGGGACATTTCTGGGCAGCAATGCCGCAAAGTGTGCGCGTGTTGCCATTCAGAGGCTTGGCTTCTGGCGGCGCTTAACGCCGTATGACGAAATCTTGGCTGCTGACGGAGCGTCGCAAGATAAAGCTGCTATCGTTGTCTTTCCTGTTTTCTCGCGTTTTTTTTTTTTTGCGTTCGCTTGCCGCTTGTGTAGATGGGTGTTTTGGGCGTAGTTGACTGTTTTTCTGTCACTCTCGAAGCGGTCGCAGATTGCAGGCTTCCGCGGTTATATTGAAACGACACTGCTGCCACGAGGTCTCAACATCCAAACAACTGACCATGTGCAAGTATGAGGGAAACACATCCAGAACATTTGTGCTTAACTGAGACAGTGACCAATCAAAATCTACAGCAGCTCTCACCATCGAACTACTAAGAAGTACTGCGCCGTCATCATATTTATCGGAAGAATGTTTCAAGCCATAGAAAAAAAAGTGCTTGTGACCTGGTTGCGCTATTAGCGCACCTTAGATTAAGATCGGTACACAGGAAGCCGCCAGTGGGCAACAAAATATCAGCTTATTTGGACACAAGAACCTTTTTTTGTTTCTTTTGGACAAATGGGTGCTATATGCATGTTGAACGTCACGGATAATAATTTGTATGGAGGGCCAAACGAGATAAATATAAAAATAACGTACTCCATGATCAACTATGCTTGTTCAACATTTTTTAGACAAGGAACGAAACCCCCCCATTCATGTATGTTTCGTCCAATGTCTAAGAATTTTACCACAGGCAGTTCAACACGGTATAGTATTGCATAAAAAACAACGCCGGTAGAAATTTTCAAAGCATATTTTATTTTATTGTGTTAAAAGCAGGCCACGATTTGTTCTCAAGTGCCTCACAGCTACGCCGAAGCCAGACATTATGTTGCTTAGGGTGCCAGCTCGGGGACGGTATTCTTCCCGCTATTATTTGATTTGATGCGATCACGTTTCCTAGAGCAGTTACAATTCGGATCGTTGTATTAGCGCTGCATTTTGCAGGCTTACCTGACTCGAGAATGTCACTGAAAAAGTGGTTTTAGTACCATGACTGCATGCGTGAGCAATGGGGCTAGTGCAAAGTGTCATGTGTTCAATCTCTCTCCTTCCCTTTTTTTTGCACTGTTCCCTCAGTATCATGTATACCAACTGGCCCTTCAAGAAACCCCCCTGTAACACAAAGTGTACTTACGAGGCTTTCAGTTGTGAAGAGCTCGTCGTCATTGGTAAGAGAAATGCTTATTGCCCAGCATTCTATTGCAAGCAATTTCAAATGCATCGACGATCATACCGCGATGAGAGGCAACTGTTCGAACGAGAAATGGACATGATCTACCACGAACAATTAACGTTGCCGAACATATTAAGCCCAGTGCGAGGACATTGTAAACATCGTCGGGTCATGATGTCATTGATCACTTACTTAGCTGATTATTACTTATCCGTATTATTATAACTTCTCGGAAAGCTCTAATATGACATCTCACGTAGGAAAGCCTTGATTTACCTTATACCCTGATGTAAAAAAGTTTTATCAGGTTCACTAGGTCAAAATATGTTTTGTTATCATTTTTTCTCTCTACTAAAATCTTTCCGTCCCCTTCCTCATTGTTATACAGAGTAGCATGTCAGCGATAATAGACACCGGCAAAAATCTTTGTTTTTCCTGATAAAGAGCCTCTCTCTCTCTCAAATGCATGACTCACCCACCTAATTAATTCCATCGTTGCTCGTGCCTCTACGATACCCCACCCTCAACCCACCCATCTCCTGTCCTAAAAGAACCATGTAAAAAGACCACGCAGAAACCATGTGAACTTCGGCAGTGACCTAGAAGTACAAGAAAGACGCACCAAGTGCAGAGCAACGGCGTCTCTCTTCTGAAACCATACGTCACTATCCATATCCACAGGCGTGGTTATCCAGTATCAAAGTCGGAGGTAAGCAACTACGACGAGACAAACGACCCCCATGCTGGAGAGGGGGGGGAACGTGGCCTACGTGAATGCACGAAAGGGAGTTACCATCCCCGCCGTTATCGCCAAGAAAGAGGAGAGGCAGATGGCGAGAGTAAGAGAGAGGGTCTCATCGAGTTTGAGGGCAAGATAGCTACGGAGTCGTCTGCCAGTCTGTGCGTTCTGACGCTGTTCAGAAAAGCATAGAGGCACATAAGCAGAACGATAGAGACAACATGGCACCGTCCTCTGCTTGCACAGTCGTGTACTGGCGCCACCGTGGCGGGTTGGTGTTTCTACTCGTGACGGCGTTTCTGTCTCTCGGAGCTAACGCCGATCGACCGACTAAGTCGGCAGTCTGTGAGTATTGAACCACGCAGTTTCGTGCTCGTTTCGGTTTTGAGATCTGGACGGTCTCTTGGCGCTGTTGACCTATCTTTGTCGCCGTTGTTGCCTGCTTGGCACTACTGCCAACGCGCGTGCTCGCGCAATCGCGCAGAGTTGACAGGTCTCCTTGACGTGGGTTTCCGGTCGGGCAGAGTGTGTTTTTCCTTACCGAAGGCATTCCACGGTTCGGTGTCAGGTGTGAATGAATCGGGTCTGTACTGGGCGTGCCATACTGTTTTGCTCTGTATTGTCACTGTGCTTTGTATAATTGTCGTACAAGGCTAAGCAATAAGAACTGATGCGTAGAAATGAATCTGAGTACAGTTACCTTCGAACGACTTACGCTTAGAAATCTGCCGGCTTGTAGCCAATGCTCTTAGTTTAGGTCATGTGAATTCTTTTGGGTAGCCGCGTGTGATGCAAGGTGCACTCGCGGGAAAGTGTTTTTTTTCCCTCCGTAGATGTGCGGGGCCTCCGGACAATATCCGAACAAATGCTTGTTCAGTATTTATGTTGAATCATGGACACGGCAGCATATGTCCGGGCAACCCCTGTTAATTTCTGTATGCCAGCAAGCAAGTGATATACGAACTACATTCCTATAGTAGCCGAGGGTACGTCGGAAGGAATCTCATCTGGTCGGGTATAAACATTGTTGAAAAGATTAAGAAATGAAGTATACCAACATTGATCAGCGGCCATCAATTTTTTTTCACTGAATTGTTATTAAAATTATTGTTATTATTCAATGACGTTCCTCGTTTCAGCATTTCTGAGCTCTTGTGGCTTTAATTTGCCATTGAGCCTCTCACATTCGTTATTCATTTCTACAGCTGAGGTTTGAAACCATATGATTAGAAAAACAAGCCTTTCTTCGTATACGTGAACATTCCATGTATGCATTCGCACGCAGGGGGCGTTACTCTCGTGTAGACCATGACACGGTCTTTGTTCGTCAGAGCAACAGTTTAGTAGCAATACACGTGCTTGTATGAAATTACGTGTCTTACTGCTTTCAAGACAGTTCGTTCTGTTCGTATTGTTCCAAATTTATGTTAACAAGTATGTTATGCGTTACATAATACTTCGAAAAATTTTCAGACATAGGTGTCATGCATACGTTGGCAAAAATTGTGGGGCTCACTGAGACTCACTAATGAAATTCATGAGACTCACTTTTGCGCTGAGGATTCCTATTGGACTCAGACTCATCAAAATTTTTCTGAGCTGGACTCACATTCGCGAAAATGTTTTTGAACCGGACTCCGCTGGACTCAAACTCACCTAAATATCACCCGTAGTCACTCAAACTCCGACTCGCGACTCAATCCGAGTCTGAGTGATGCACTCATAAGTCCTAAGTATAGAATTAAAATTTTCGGTAATAGTGTCAATGCCTTTTAACAAAATTATGTCACGCATTGGGTGCTCTTCTTGGCACCTTTTGATATAGTGCCTTCGAATACTAGTTATGAGTGGTTGCTAACCAGCAAGTACCTTTTTGCATTAAAAGAGACAGCCACATGAGGTACATTTATGAAGAGATTCCCCGGAAGATTCGGTGGAGGGCAAGTACAAGGCATCCCTCTACGTAATTTCCGCATTTAATTAATAAATACTGAAATGGTGTATGAACGATATTGCCACGCTGTGTTGGTGGCACAAGACGAGAGCGAAGAAGTGAATGGCAGCTGTGGCTGAGTAAACAGTCCTCCACTTCGAGTTCCTGTCTATCGTTTCCTCTCGCGACAGACTGGTGGAGGTGCTGGGTACTGTACTGCAACGTCTTATGCCTGCTGGTCCTGAAGCAGAAGAAACTACTACCAGTGCACCAGAATTTGCTGATATCCATCGAAGCAGCCGCCGTCTTCAAGGACTACCACCACAGTATGGCCCCTTGGCAAGTTCCGTGAGGACAATGTTTGCCACATCCGCAACCCAAACCGAGCATGACCCATTCGCTAGCGTACCCTGTGTCATCAACACGCCTCGCACACCCAACTCATTCCATGGTGATGCCGGTGAGGATGTCGAAGACTGGCTTGACCATTTCGACAGGGTCGCTGCCATCAACGACTGGGACAATCGCCGTAAGTTGAAGAATGTGTATATCTCCCTTTTAGACGTGGCAGGAGTGTGGTATGAGAACCACAAAATTTCATTCACAAGTTGGCAGGAATTCCATCGGCAGCTTTGCGAAGCGTTCAGTAATCCCGAACGGAAAGAGAGCGGAGCAGGCACTTTCTTCGTGGTTTCACATGCCGAACGGGAGCGTCGCCACGTTTGCCGAAGAAATGTCACGATTGTTTCGACGGGCTGAACCCCACATGCCAGAAGACAAAAAAGTGCGCCAGCTAATGCGAGGCGCAAAGGAGCAACTTTTCGCGGGCCTTGTGCGCAACCCTTCTACGACTGTGTCCGAGTTCATACGTGAGGCCACAATTATGGAGTGCATGCTTCGGCAGCGGTTGTCGCAGTATGGAGTGCATGGAGTGCATGCTTCGGCAGCGGTTGTCAGACGGCCATGTCCGCTGCGTGCTCGCTTGTACCAGGAGGTGATAACAGGGATGTCCTCACAGAACTCATAGGGAAGTTGTACGCGAAGAACTTCGGAAATTTCATGCAACGTCCTCTCCCAGTAGCGCTGCTCTTACGGACATCGTTCGTAACGAAATCAGGCAGTTTGTCACTCCTCACCACCATCGCAAGTCGAACCCCCACGCTTTCCTACGCGGATGCCCTACGCGTCTCTACGTCGTCAATGGCACATTTTGCTCATCCATCTACTGGGACCCCCAGACGCTTTCCACGTCCAGCCCACCACCTGCCTTCTCAGGCCGATTTTCGTCCTGGCCCGCGGAAGTCCACCATCTGGCGTGCACCCGACAATCGTCCTTTGTGCTACCATTATGGCGAAGTTGGACACATGTACCGTGACTGTTACTACCGACGGATAGGCCTACGCGGATTCCACCCAGATGCACGTTGTACACACTGTGGTGAGCACCCACAAAAAATCGCACATTACTTGGAAGGTAGTCATCACGCTCCTGCCCCACCACGACGACAGTCACGGTCACCAACACCCCATCCGTCCGCATTAACGCACCGTGCCCGACCCGCCTTTGGTTCCCCTGGTGTCAGTGGCGCAATCACACGCCAAAGAAACTGAAAACGGCGACCTCTGGAGGTGAGGCTGCTCACCTCCAGAGGTCGCCGAACCGACAAGTACCCTCTGCCACTGCCTTACGACATGCCGTTAAAGCCTGTTTCTGAAACCGCCAACAGAACGTCCACTGCCATTACCGTTTCCGTCGACTGTTATCTTGTGACTGCGCTTGTCAACACGGGAGCTGATTACTCGGTGATCAGTGCTTCATTGGCCACCCGTCTACACAAGGTGCTGACAACGTGGGACGGTCCTTAACTAATCACCGCTGGAGGACACCTTGTATCCCCAATAGGAAGGTGCACCACCAGGCTGGAGGTTTGTGCGTCAGCTTTTGTAGCATCATTCCTTGTACTGCCCAATTGTTCTCGGCCGGTCATTTTGGGCATAGATTTTCTGCAAGAGTATGGAGCAATAATTAATCTGCACGATTTGTTCGTCAGTTTTGCTAACTGAGTTTCTTCAGATTCCGACATGGAGAATGAACATCGTGGCGTGGCCTTACGCGTAGTCGATGATTGCGTCACGTTGCCACCTCGCAGTAGTATCTTCATGCTTGTTGAGTGTCCGCGGGAGCAGTCGATTACGGGCATCGCCGAAAGTAACCTGACGTTATTGCTTGATCGGGAAGTCGCCATTGCTCGAAGTCTCGTTCAACTCCGAAATGGCCAGACTACGGTTTTAGTTACGAACTTCAGTGGTGAACACAGGCATTTTGCGAAACGCACATCCATAGCTTACTTGGAGGCATTGGATGATTTGGACGCCTTTCCTTTGATTACGATGATCTCGACTGAGAACATCTGCGATACTGACGTGACTAGTCGCCTGAACGTAAATCGCCAGTTAGAAGAACCTAAGAGGGCAAGGCTCCTCAGTCTCCTCTCATCCTCTAGTGACTGTTTTGCAACTACTTCGAAAGTCCGGCAGACTCCTCTATTGAAGCACAAAATTATCACTGAGTCCAACGTCAAAACCGTGCGCCAACATGATTACCGCGTGTCACAGAAAGAGCAGGATGCTATCCGTCATCAAGTGAAACAAATGCTTGACGACAACGTAATTCAACCATCAACTAGTCCTTGGGCGTCACCAGTTGTTCTGGTTAAAAAGAGAGATGGTTCATTACAATTCTGCGTCGTCTACCGCAAACTGAACAAGATAACAAAAAAAGACGTATATCCTTTTCCTCGCATTGATGACTCCTTGGATCGCCTGCGACACGCCCGTTACTTCTCTTCCATGGATCTCCGTAGCGGATATTGGCAGATTGAAGTAGATGAACGGGACCAAGAAAAAAACGGTGTTTATTACACCTGACGGTCTCTATGAGCTTAAAGTTCTCCCTTTTGGCCTGTTCTCCGCTACAGCCACATTGCAACGAATGATGGACACAGTTTTATGTGACTTGAAGTGGCACTCTTGTTTAGAGTATTTAGACGACTTAGTCGTTTTTTCTACGACTTTTGAACAGCACATTGCGCGGCTTGAGGCGGTTATTCTGGCTATTCGCACTGCCGGCCTCTCTCTGAAACTGGAAAAGTGTTATGTTGGACATGAGGAACTCAAATTCCTTGGCCACATTGTCAGCAGCAGTGGTGTTTGCTCCGATCCTGAGAAGGCTATGGCAGTTGCTTTGTTCTCGATACCGAGAACAAAGCATGATGTACGCCGCTTTCTGGGACTTTGTGCTTATTACCGCCGCTTCGTGCCGAACTTTTCGAAAATGGCTGACCCTCTACAACTCGTCAAGGACGACGTCGCCTTCATCTGGGGCCCCAAACAATCCGACGCTTTCCGCGAC